TGTCCAAAAGACAACTACTGTAACAGCCTCACTTGATTGAATCAGCACTGCTGTACTTGGCTAACATAACTGTGTTTATCCTTTTGCACAGTGCAGTGAGAATGTTCATTAACATTGAATTTACCATGAGACAAATGTGTTTCTTATTGTGTTCTGCACTATTGTTTAGACTGAGCGCAGAAGTTCATTAGTGACAGTGGTGGACACACAGCTTTTAACGAACAGGAACCAGGGTCATTTGAGCAGGTTGTCTCTCAACTGCATTAGACTCAGAAGGAAAAATGAAATCTAGACATACTCTGCATAGCCCTCTGCCATCACTGAAAGAGTCTCCTAATTAGTTGTTAGGAGTATGGATGCATGACCCCAGGGTAGCACGCCAAGGTCATTCTGCTAGTGGGCAATGACAGGACGTGTCAGAACCACGGTAGATGCTACGGTAACTCGTGACCTTCACGTCTTGTTCGCACCATCCATCAATCAGCAAAGGAAAAAGGTCAATCATATGGACTAAGGTCAATGCATAGTCCTGGGCCTCAGGTCATTTCACCTTCCCCTGGGCCTCCAGCTATGGTTAGAACTTCAATAGCTGCAAACGAGCACGGCTGTACTAACAGAGAGAACAACACTGAGTTGGAAGAGCTGAAAATATTGCTCATTAAAGATACCACACAGGGAAAGAAAAACATTTGCTGACTCTATTTGTATTCTGCTTCCACAACTGTACGGGATTTTATTAAACAAGAGAAAAGCACACCCTATCATCCTAATAGGGATGTTAATAGGGAGAACTAACAGCTATCAGTGCATCTGAAGAGAAATTTTCATAGGAAAAAGCTTCTAAAATGAGCATGCAAAGGAAGTAATGTTGGATCTGTAATATTTCAAACACAACAGGATGTACATTCATGTAAATGTATATGCAAATTAGATGCAGCCCTCAGGCACTTGGTGAGTTTCCAATGAGGCACTTGAGGCTGCAAACTGTTGATTTAGCATATGAGCCTAACTACTTACCCTGAAATGCAGGCATTAAAATAATATTTAAAGAATTTATATATCAGGGACCTTTAAATAAGTTAAATATTGATATAAGCTCTGGGTAGCTCCCATGGACATTTGATTTCCAGTTGGAAAATGCTGTAACATGGTGATTTTATATTTACCTTAATGTGGAATAAACAGTGTGTTGGCTACATGATTAATGTGAAGCCTAAATCTGTTGTACTCACAATATTCTTAAGGATAATTATGTCACAGCTAACAAACTTGAATACAAATTTGATTAACAAACTTAATTCATCAAATACATCTCTCCTGCTCCTTTCATCATGCTGAACAGTAACTGATTTTGTTCTGAATTGTATGTTTTCACTAGATTAATAAGAATTAAAAACAAAGACTTCAGTGTTCTCACTTCCTCCTTCTTAATACTTTCCTTTCTCTGTGACATCACTTAAGTTCTATAATTAAGCTTTTCTATCAAAAAACTATCAAAATACTATATTTCTGCATCAGTTTCATAACATAATGTAGCAAGACCTGTAAGACAAAAATTCAATTATCACATATCTCAGTGAATTTGAAAGAAGAATACAAGAATTGCTCTGGTATTCTTTTAACTGCATAAGGGAGAAAAATGTTTCATTGTGTGTTGCTTTCAAAGGAGAAATTCTTATAATTTAGGAAAAAAAAAAAAGATTTTTATTGCTGGTGATTTTTTTTTTCCCCCCAGAAGACTAACTGAGCTTGATCATTCTTCCACACTATTTGATTTGGCTCTGTAACAAGAAATCAAATGGATCCCTCTCCACATCCCACCTGTAAGGACCTTAGACTTTATCCTGTTAAGGAATCACTATCTGGAGAAGCTGGAAGCTTTAGGAATTGAATGGCCAAATCTGGACAGAGCCCTAGTTTGTGAGTGGGTGAGTTGCTCCTTGCAGCCCTGGCATATGACTGAGCACTGCTGTAGCTCTGTTAAATGCTCATTCCCTTTCCTGGCCTAGATAAATCCATCCTTGGTAGTGTTTTTCAGGTAGCTGCAAAATCTCCGCTGCTGGATGTTAGGAGCATTTTTTACTATTTCATGCTCCTGTAGATTAGATAATATTTCTTCTTATAATGTTATTATTACATTTCCATTGCTAAAATATCATTAAATCTTATTGTGTTGCCAATGCCCAAATGCTCAAAGCAGATAACATAAAATGCCACAAGAACAGGCACAGAATGAACACAGTAGCTTGTCTAGGAGATATATCATAGTGTTTATTATCCTTTTGCTTTTTAAAAGAAAACATGCATTTTTTTGCACAGAAATAGAAAAAAGAGACATGTGAGGAGTGATGTAGTCTAACCTGAAAAAGGAGTCTTATATCAGCTTTAGAATGTGGACCTTCTTTGAGGTTTTGAGTTTTTGAAGGTGTCCTGGTTTGGTTAGAATACCAACCGTATCCTAGCCGAACAAGGACAGAAGGAAAGGAGATTAATTATTTTTAATCTCTCTTCTCAATATTTTTAGGGGTGTCATAGCCATCAAGATAGCCACCTCAGAACGCTACAAATAGCAAATATATGGTTGTGTAAACAGTTGTTTCCAACTACTACTGCAGTTTCAGATTGCCCATACACCAAGTGTGAAAAACAAACAAGCCAACAAGCAAATATTATCAGATGATCCCTGTTCATTTCAAAGTCCAGAGTTCCAGGAACACCTTTGCAGCAGAGATCATTTGTGCACTGAAATGTTCTGATTTAATCTCAAATACCATGCCTTTTGATTTGTGTTTTAAGTCTTGTCTCTTCCAAAGAATATATTTTTTTGTTTGATTCAATGCACATTCCCAAAAGGATAGTTAAGTTCTCCCTAGTAAGTGTATGAGTTATAGGAAACATTATTAATGCTCTCAGTTCTCTCTTGCAAAAATATAAACAACTCTGATAGTATGGTAGTTTATTATACTGCATATTAAAAAGCCATCCAAAAGGAATCAAAAATGACAGTATCAAATACTAAACAGACTCTGAACATGGTATTTTTTGTTGTTAACTAGTCAGGAATCAAAAAATGACTGTGCATCACTTGGAAAACATTAATATAAATTCAGAATTTCAGGGGTTTCTCAGCCTGTTCTAACACCTTTGTACTGGCCTGCTTTGATGCTGGTCAGAAGGGAATTATGGTAAGCTGAGAGAGTTTTTCTTGGACTCCCTTTGCAAATCCTCAGTTCGATTTCTTGTGCAGCAGAAAGCTTTGAGCAGAGCTGTGGTGAGCAAGCCAGGTACATAAGGTGCTGTCATTTAAAAAGCTGCCCAGTAGTTTCTAGTGTAAAAAGCACTGGGTTCAACTCTCCTCCTTGGAGCACCTCAGGAAGGGAAGGTAAAGACCTGGCTGATGGCCAGGGTACTCTTGTCCTGAGGTCTTACAGGGTGTCACCACTCCTGAGTCAGCCCTCAAGCTGATCTAGCTCTGCAGCTCTACAGAAAGCCCATGGTCTAACTCAGATGTCAGCATAAATGTTTTTAAAAATTATCTTAAAATATGCTTTTTATACCATGAATTTAGAGCTTTCTGGTTTTCCAAATTAAAGCAGCAGTGTTTCCAAATTCTGTGTGGGGAGAGAGCAAAAAAAAAAAAGACCACTTTCCCCAGATGCTTTTGTGTTTCTAGTTTTCAGCAGAAACAGATTTTTGTTCAGTTATTTATTCTGACAATAGAAATTTGTAATGCAAATAATCCTAGTCTCTCAACAAAAGCAAGCAATGGTTTTACGTATCAGCACTGTTGCATCTGATGTGAGAACCATTTTCTAGAGACTCCTGCAGTCAATTAACCAAATCAGATTTGCTGATGAACTAGAGCTTGCATTTATATCCATCTCAGTGAGGGGATGGAGAGAAAACTTAGTCATTTGTAGTGTTTGTAAAAAGCTTTGGACATGTGGAAGGTTCATCACACAAATTGTTAGCAAGCAGGGCTGAATCTTGCATTATGGCACAAATTTGCTTTAAAAACAATTCACTGAATAGAAAGGAGAAATTTCTTTCAGACCCTGTCCCTGTATTTCTGTTAATTTATATTTACATATTATATTTATTATAATTTTTATATTTACTTGAGTAACAGCTAAGGTAGCTGGAAACTGCAGTTGGCTTCAATAAAGCCCTTGGTTATCAGTGGAAAGATCCAATGAATGGAATGGATTCTACATCACATCTTACATTAAAAGCTTCATAATTAATGCATATTCAATTGCAAGTTAAATTTTTTATCTGCTATTCAATGCTGGAAATGGACTGAGAAAGGCTATTTCAAATAAGCAACATTAGGCTGGAGAGCTGCTCAAAGAAAGAATGGTTTTTGCTTTCTACCATACCTGCTGGGGCACTGATCTTTAGCCACTCACCCTCCAGCACCAAAAGTGACCTATGACAGTCAGTGGACAGGATGCTTTGACTGACAAGCTGTACTAACAGAAGTTCCTAGCAGAAAATAAGATGTGCCTCCACAAAACTGCAGAACCAAAAGCTCCAAATTGTTTCAAAGGCCAGTCACACAACTAACTCATTAACTAACCAACCGTTTTTGTCACAATAGTACAAGAACTGTATCTGGGAACAAACAGAACAAGAAGTATGGAAGAACTGTGTGTGCCTGTACACAAACAAGTCTGTCTATAAATGCAGTTGCTTAGCAGAGCACACACAAAAAAGAGATTCTCAACGACCAAACACTTCTGTAAGGGCCACCTGTTATCATTCAAATTATGTATCACACACTCACCAAGAGTAATATCTTCAGTGCATTAGACACTTTTCTAAACTAGAATCTCCATTATCAGTTGAATGCTTGGATTTAGATAAAAAAAAAAGTTTAGAACAAAAACTATCGTCCTGCTAACAAATCTTTTTTTCCTAATCAAAACACATTTTTCCTGAGAAGCAGCCAGTGAATCTAGAAATACATCTCCAGGTTGGTCCTAGAGGACTTCCCCTACCTTTATGGCAGTGGAGGCGATCTGGATGTGGTGGAGCCTGCGCAGGGTGCTGTCCCTGTCAATGAAGTAGGAGGCTGCCAGCTGGTGCAGGGTCTCCAGAGTCACCGTGGAGCTGTTGGTGCTGGGGTCACTTCCTTCTGACCTCCTACTCAGCTTCCGTTTGTCCACAAAAATTGTAAGTGACTCCTCTCCTGAGCAGGGAAACAGAAACCACAGCACTCATCAGTAACATCTTCTGCAAGTCTCATTTTGTCAGAATTAAGGTGTCAAGCCAAGGCTTTCCCTGGATGTTGTCTAATGTTTAGATACCCCTTCCTGTAAAAGAAAATAAAAATATTTCTGAAGTATTACAGTGGTTTCAAGTTTCCTTCTTATCAAATATATATCATATCTGATGACAGAAGATAGCTTGTTACAAAAACCAAAGCAAAATCTCACGTTTAACCGAGTTCTTAAGAACCCTTCCAGATATGACCTACTGATAACATTAAATTTGTGAAGCAATTTTCCACATTTATTGTTTATTTTATGGATATTTGTTTCCGTTTATTCATTTAGTAACGTGTTTAGGCAAAACTCTTCACTTCCAAAAACTAATTAGAAAAGTATGCAATTCACTCAACACTCTCTTCTGTGCAATTTATGTCTGAAGTAACTTCAAAACCACTTGTCTCACTTTCTGACACTGTTTGGTAACTCACATCCTTCAACATTAGTTTCAAGGATTAATGAATAATATCATCATACCTATATTTTAGGTGTTGAACAACTCCACTGAATGCCATTTCCTTGTTCCTGGAAAGGAAGCTACCCCGATAGGGTCTGACTCTCCACTTGTGCTAGTTTCATTGCTCACCCATCTGCTACAGTGGCAGTTTGCCCATTTTGAGGATGGGATGCCAGCTTGGGATGAGATTACGTGCCAAACAGTAATAGCTGTAGAGGGATAATATGTAGGATGAAAACATGACATCATCTTTAAAGGGAGATGATGCTGGTGGTGAGCAATGCTAAATGAAGACTGCATGCCTCTGTGCAGCAAATCACATCTGTTGACAAATCTGACACTCAGCAACCTCAGCTTGCAAAATTTCTGTTTGGAGAAAGAGGAGTGTATCCATGTCAATCAATGTACCTTACAGTGTTTCCCAATCTCTCACAAATTTAGAGGACAATCAGGCCCTTCAGACCTTACACAGGAAAAGCTGCCTTCATTCAGAAGCCTCTTATCTAATTACACCTGCTGGGCTTGTCCAGTGTGCTCTCTTTGCCCTGGAAGGGACAGCTGCTGCCCAGGACAGCTGGCTGTTCCAGCTGGAGCCTACCTGTTTTCACCACTATGCTTATATTTCTACAGTTTTGTAATGGGCCTGCCTTTTTTGGTTTTTTTTGCATGCAGTTATCAAAGCAGGGATTAACTGCCTGAATACCAAAGAACCAGGAATTAAAGCAACCTCTGTAAGTAACAGGATTTCCCCATTCAGCTACCAAATTTTTCTGCTGTAATAAGCAGACGTAGGTTTACATTTTATTTACCTACTGCCAAAGCCTCCTGCAAAGCAGACTAGGGTTGCTTGGCAGGGCAGGTGCAAGAGCACAGCCTTGTGCACTGCATTTTGTCATGCTACACCCATGCGAGGTGGTGCCAGCCCTGCAGCCAGGTGGGCCATGGTTTACACCATCCTGCATCCATGCCAACTGAGAGCTGGAAAAGCACAAAGTCTAATGAATTCTGCTTTGAGAGAAATTTTCCACCAGAACTCAGTTTAGGTTCCAGTATTGCTGGCATTCAGCTGTGCCTTTCAATAAAACCTGCCTCGTGACTCCAGCTAGTATCAAAGATGTTCCTGAAATGAAAAGCAAAGGAGGGGGCTGAAATCTGAGACAAGAGCAATGGCCTTTGTGCAGTGTTTGTGGAGCTAGAAAGACACCATCATAGCAGACAACATCAGAACTCAAAGGGATAAATATTTTATCAGTGACCTGTTCAGGTTGTGTAACTAAGGTGCAAAATATTTCACTAGTAGATTTCTCTCTAGTTTTTCCCCCTCTTCTCCAGAGGTCTTAGCTAGTCTATTTAGATTAAACTGACTTTTGCAAGCTCGAGCAGCTTTCCACTGAAAACACCTCATAATGAATTGGAAGGTAAATGAAAACAAACCCTTCATATCATAGAAAATCTCTGGAAAGTAGAAAAAAAATTTAGATTCTTTAACTTTTATTAGCCAGTATGCCACCCCACCTTGCATCAGAGTTACATCTGGTGTAAACTCTTTTGATTAGTCTGTACTGGTTATTAGTAGAGATGGTGGGACTGTTTAATCAAAAAAAAAAATCATAGCATCAGAGAATTATTAAAGTTGGAAAAGACATCTAAGCTCATCACATCTAACCATCAACACTATCATGACCTCTAAACCATGTCTTGAAGTACCACATCCACATGGTTTTTTGTACACCTCCAGGAATGACAACTCCATCCCCACCCTGCGCAGCCTGTTCCATCTCGTGAGAATACTGGCAAGTCTTCTTATTAAAACAGAGCTTGTTTATTTTTCTCCAAACAAAAATGTTTGCTCTCCAGGGGGCAGAAAGCAGAACTGCAATAAAAACTCCCACTTCAAAAAAATACCTTGAAAAATGACAGCATTGTGCGTTGTGTTGTTTTGAATAGAAAATGTCAGGAAAATGACCTTTGACACACACCCACCCACCCCAGTTATCACATCACCCTATTATCCTAGCCCTGCTTGATCCCATGCTTGCCATGGCAGTTGCTGGTGGGTGTATTCCCAGCCCTACAGTCTCTGTCCCTGCTCCCCGACAGATGTGTTTTGTTTTTCATGCTCCATAACAAAGTTGAAATGATTTTGGATGTTTTCTTTGACTCAGATCACATCAGATTTCATTTCCTAAGGTTGAGAGAAGACACACAGCAGGAGTGATGAGACCTTTGGTGTAAACATGAAGGAAACTTTCTCCTCAACGATCTCTGCATTGTGTTTGTATGGCACCTCAAACAAGAGAGTCCTACTTCATCACTGATACTCTCAGGCACAATGCTAATACCAGGTGCAATCAGGAACATTTCAAAAATATTTGCTGTTCAAAAGAGAACTTATATATTCTGAAAGGTTTTCATCTGTTAGAATTGATTTAGCACTTGCTTGAGAAAAAGTGATTTCAAAAGCAGAAAACCCTCCATATGTTTGTGTTCAGGCATCCAAGTCACTGCAGAATTTAACAGGGCTCCCTTTTGCACCCAGAACTTAAGGGTTTGTAAAGTAACATCACTGACTCAAGTTTAATTTGTGGAAGACAATTTAATTTTTAAGTTAATTTGGAGAAAATTAAATTCATGCCAAAAGAGACTCTTCTGTCACTTTTGCAACCTGAATGAATCTTATTTTTGGTTACAGACTGCCACCAGGAAACAGGCTAATAATACAACCAAGCATTAGTAAAAACAAGTATGATTTAGAAAACTACTCAAGAATATTAATTTAAGAACTGAAAAGGATTAATGACAGTGAATACTAAGAAATCAGGACCAGATCCACACAGCTGTGCTTTCCACAGGCTCTGAAAGCAGTGTTCTGCCTACTTCACAAAATTCATGAGTCCATTAGGTTCACTTTCTCAGGTTTAAAAGAAATAGCATAAAAACATGGGGTCATGCTCACAGAACAATGCCACATAATCCAGTGATTGGTTCAAGAAATTAGTTACTACACTGATGCTTTATTACTCTGTAGCTGCTGTCACTGACAGATACTCACTAGGGGTGCAAGAGACTTACAGACTGACCTTGGCACACTATATACTAATGTTCTTGCCAGCCCTGGAATTACTATATAATTTTTTTCTCAGTTTATACAAACATTTTCCATAATTCATAAGTTAAAATAACTCCTGAGTTGAGAAAAAATATTCTATGTGCTGTTTCTCAAAAAAATTAAGCAGGAATTAAGTATATATTTACCTAGACAACCCATCCATAGCCATTTAGATATAAGACTACTAAACAACAGTTAATAAATAGCATTCAGAAATTAGAAATTAATTTTGTATGCATCTTAAGAATATCTTCAGGAATTATTTAAATAAAAAATGCAAATCATCACGTGGTAGAATTGGAATAATGCTGGAACAACTGTAACTAAATTTAACTATCTATTGAAGGAGCAAACATTTTGTTATACATGATAATACATATTCATATGATTTAAATACTTAGTGCTATTTTCTGCCTCAATTATTGAGACATTGTTTTCCTGTACCCACATCTTTGTAATGATGAAACAATCATATGCCTTGATGTTTCATATTTTCATCTGTAAACTGAGTAGTGGAAGGAAAAAGCAGTGATTCAAGCAGCACCCATCACTTCACGTCAGAAAGTGAGGGAAACAGTAATGAAATTATAACACTCAAAGGCAGATATATCTGAGCATCATCCACGGTTATCTACCTAGAGTTCTGGTTTTGTACACATGTGTGTCTTACAAATCTTAAAGGTCTTCAGCCTCAAAAGCTTCTGATTAAGTGGCATACCTCAGATGAAATAGCCATAATGCATTATAGTAAAAAGTAAAAATAAGATTTGTTATGCCTTTGTTACAAAAAATAGCTCAGCACTAGTGTAAAATCTATTTGTGTATGAAGCAGAGAATGTACCATTAGGGTTTTATCAGGCCGTTTTCCTAAGCTTCAGCAGATGCTGATGGTTCAAAAAGTATATAAATTAATGCTAGGCCAGATGTGGTATCATTTCTGTGGTTCAAATGAATAACAGCACATGTTAATTCTATCCATACCATCTGTTTAGGGTTTAAAATTATTCTTCATTGAGTGGATGGGGAGAGAAAAAGATAATATATTTTTGCTTTTTTTCCTTTTCATTGTATCCATAATCATAAATGTTGGAAAAATTACATACCTGGATGGGGTGAGGTGTGTTTGCAAGTCTGATGCTAAATTTTCAAGTTTCTCACATCAGTTATTTGAGACTGGACTCTCCCCCCCTTATATGCCAATAGTTTTTACCTTACCTTGAAAGAAGTGTTACAGAAAACAAAGGTCATATCAGCACTCAGTGTAAGTGATCATAAATCCTTCAGAATTCATTGAGATTCACCGTTTTACACCACCTGACAATTTCTCCTATCTCTGTATGCAGAGTAATATACTGCTCAAGAGGAATAACAATCAGGGGCAGAAAACCTGACCCTCTTTATTCAGTGCATAGAATAGTAAAGGTGTAACTACAAAACTCACTTGTGGGACTGTAATCAGTGGAGAGAACGACAGGAAGCTGGGGTTAAGCTGAGCTGCTGACACCTATTAAGGTTCTCTATTGTAAAGACAAAATTACCTTTTTTTTTTTTCTTTCCAATTCTCAAAGCCTTCATCATAATCAAGGAATATTTCCTGACTCAGAGTGGTAACTGTATTGATGGTCTGATAATGAACATTTTGAGTAATTATGACAATAGCAGGAAAAAACCCAAACATTTAAGATTACCATTTAGCCAGTTGCCTAAAAGATTTCTAGTTTCCTAAGAAGCCTTGGCAACCTCCTGCAAATTTGTTTATTCAGAACAGTTCCCATGTTTCCAGAAGCAAAGGAGTCATTTACAAAGCACTATCTCCACCTTGCAAAGCACCCAAATCAGGGTCATGTCACCCAAACAACTGGAACAAAGGTCTACCTTCTCAAGTGTAGCACATTAGTTATCTGTAATTTCCACATCCCCAAGCCTACTGGCTTCCTGAGTAGCCTTTACATCTATCTGTAGGAACAGCATTAAAGTCAATACCTTTAAAGCGAGACCACTGATATTTTCATCCTCCTACACTTACTCTGCAGTGATGCCCTAGGCCTCACAATAACTTCCAGTTCTGAAGCTTACTGCTACACCCTATTTTTTTGTAAACCATTAAAGCGTACAGTAGCTAATGCTCTTGCATATTATTCAGCAAGCTGGATCTTCATTGCATCATGCTGTATGCAAGCAAAAGAGGAAAGTATAAATGCAGAACAAAAGGTGAAAAAGTAACTCTGTGCGTTGTCTCCTACTCAAAGGAGAACCTGCTTTTTGGAGCTGCTACTTTAAAGCTGATAAAGAATTTAGAAATACATTTCATAGTGTCAGAAAATAATTTAGGCTGGAAGGGACTTCTGGCAGTCATCCAGTCCAGTTCCCTGCTCAAAGCAAGTCTAATTAAATCAGATGCTATGGGACTTGTCCAGTAGAGCCTTCCCTAACCTTCAAGGATGGAGTTCTCTTGTAGGAGTCCTTTTTTTTTAACCTTTCTTCTAAAGCTGTTCTGGTCAGTGTTAGCTGGCCCGTGTAAATTTACAATTTTGCTAACTCAATCACTATGCATGTTGTCCCAGAGGAGTGGTGGAAACTTTCTCACCTCCTAGTGATGGCCCAGCCTAACACAGCATCCCCAAGTGTGCACAAAATTTAACAAAAATGAGGAGCCACAGCTCTCCTTTCTCTGCAGATTTGACACTGCAGTCCATCAATGGAGAAGCAGAAGTTAACCCTGTGCACAGGCACGTGAGCTCGCCCTGAACCCATCGCTCAGGCTAGTGATTACATAGGGTCCTCCTACTATGCAGCTTGAAGCTGCTCATTACAGACATTTGCCTTATGTCACAAGAAGATAAAATTTCCATAAGAAATAGAAGCAGTGAGAAATGTCATTATCTTGTGGCAGCAAGAAAAATAGAACTTCCCTAAGTTCTCGTTTCAGAATGCCCTTGAGAAGTATATATCTGGCTCTGTGAATAAAGATTTGGGAAGGCATCACAAACAACCATGTGCAGGAGTTCCCTTTATGGTCAAAAAGGGATATTCATGAAAGCCAAATGGTCACAGAAGCACACAAAACTTGCCACAGGACCGTTCATTTGCCAAGCTTTCCTTTATGTCCATGAATACAGATGATCGGGGATTCATTAAATAAAAGTACTATGCACACTCAGTTTGGTCTTCTGCTTTTAAGGAGCTACATAAGCAACAAAGCTTTCAGAATAAAACAACTTGTAATTAAGGGGAAAGTACAAATACATTATTGAAAGAAAAAAAATCTAATTACATATTAATAAAGTGTGGACAAGCATCTCTGGGAATCCCCATTCAATCTAGCCCAAGAAGGAGAACTAATGCATACAATAAAGTATAGGGTTATTAGCTACCTCAGGAAAGCATTCTTCAAAATTAACTAATTCCCTGTAATCATTTTAATTGAACCAATTTTTCAAAGTATTCATCACCAATCCAATGACAACAGAAGGCAGCAGGTATGCCTAAAATCATGCCTAAAAATTGAGGGTGGGGACCTAAATCAAAACCCATCAAAGTCAATATAGAGTCTCCCTTTGACTTCTCTAAGTGTTGCCAGGGCACAGAAGTCAACACTTGTCTCCCTGTGAGTGGAAAATTTTTGCAAGCACATGGCAGCTCCTGCATTTTAAGAGCTTTGTAAGGTGGTCTAAAGAGGGATGAGGAAATGGAACTCTGCTCCAGTTTCCCTAGAGCAAATCCAGAGACTTTTTGGAGAACAGTGAATGTTAAAGCTACAATTTCCAAACATTTTCAACAGAACTATTGCTAAATTTTAGCTTCCACTTAAGGCCATGCTTCCTGAAGGGTGTCAAGTCTGCAGCTTTTTTGTAATTAGCACAGTACTGGTCTTCTGCTGACCACTTGCCTGATACGAAATGATATTATCATTAGCAGGCAGACCAGCAGCCAAACTCTTTCCTCTGCTACCACATCACACCCCAGAGATCCAAAGTGCCAGACAGAGGAACAAGTCAATGCACTCACCCACCACAGGGGACATGAGGAAGGGAGCAAGCCAGGCAAGGAGCCAAGCCATGGGCAATGGGAGCAGCCAGGCCATGAGCCCAGTTATAGAGCAGGGACTCAGAGACAGCTTCATGTTCTGGCCCTGTTGTCCTAGGAACTCCACTGGCTGTGAAGAGTCAGGAAGCCTTTCTGATAGCCAGAATCCCCACACAGCAAATCTCCCAACCCCACTGCAAGCATCTCATTATCATCTCTTATAGAGGTGGCTTCTTGCCCCACCTTCAGGTTACTGTGGAAGGTGGGGGCACCTGGTGGTGATCTCCTAACCAGTTCCCACCCAAGGCTGGCCAGACCCTGGGTAAAAAGCAATCAGGAGGGTCTTTCTTGCCTGGTTGTGGACATCGTCCACATGTCAACACTCAGGGCTGGGGGTTTAACTCCAGTACTTCAACTGGTGTTTTGAACTTTTAAGGAGCAGCTATTTCTTGTGTTAGAGTGATTTCCACAAGTTGTTAGGGAAGTTGTCCAGTTTAAACTTGAAAATTAATTTCATCAAATGGCTGTAGTAATGAAAGTTATGTTAGTTAATAATTAGCAAATAGCCACTAATACTAAACAATAGTTTTTACCATTGGAGAATCCCTGCATTGGGATACATGCTGCAGCCAAATCTTTAATTATTATGCTTTGTATTTTAAGAAACATTTTGTTTCTCTTCTGCAGTTGCTTTTTCTGTTCAGATGTGCTATGCGCAGCAAACACAAGAGCATAGATGGTCATTTATAAAAGGTGTACTTTTTGCATGGGAGAATTATACTGAGTGATTACAAGAAATTTCTGGGAACCTTATTGCAAATTGCTACTCAACATATGTTATTTATTCTTAAAATTCTAATGGTAATGGACTTGCTGTAGAAACGCAAGTTCCCAAAATAATGACAGGAATTAGTCCTTTATTACTTTAAAAAACTACAGCAAGACAGAATTTCACCTTGTTTCTCAAATGGTCTTTTCCAAAAGGGAGCTCCTGTGAGACATTTCAGTTGTTATAGATCTCAGATATCAGCCAAAAGAGAATAAGAAGGCTGTCATTTCCTTAATATATGGTTAGAATTCAGTTATGAAATGTATTAAAGAGAACCATTCCTCAGGTGAATAAAGGATTTTGACAAGACTGTCCTGTTGGAAGGATACTCAATCACCAGAATTATCTTTAATATAATCACCCACCAAGGCATAAAACTGCATTTCTAAAATGTCAGTTCATTCTGTAATGCCTAGATGGGTAATCGCAGGTGCTAATTATCTTTCATTCTGAACAATTTATGCTCTCTCTTGAACATTAGGCCTCTTCACTGGATTTCTTCAATCCATTTGGTGACTGGATCCCAATTATACATCAGGCTACCCTTTCCAAAGTAGTCTGTGAGGATTTAGAGATGCAGATTCCATTAAGTTAATCAGAATCATATGGCAAAGCCTCATCATCCCATTTTGAAAATGTAATCCCACTGGTTAAGAGGAGATTAGTTCTATAAAAAGATAGAGTGACAATATAGGGACTTTCCAGCAGTCAAAGTAGTTTAGAAGTCTCCTAGCTGAAAAGATTTATTGGAAATAATTGTTACTGGTTTTCTTGCTTCATCTCTGCAGTATTGTAATGGATCCAGATACTTGGTCAATCTGTTATTATGTAAATTGTTAGAAGGGTCTTTTACAGAAAAAAATGTCACTCTCCTTAATGACCTCTTAGTGCAGAGAAACATCCCCAAAAAGACCAGGAACATGCACACAAGGAACTCAATCTTAGCAGTGGAAATTCTTATCTTTTTGCCTGTGAAATTATTTACACAGCATCATAAAGCAGTTTAATACCATCAGAAGAAGGAGCCATGAGGCTTGTAGGACAAAAACTACTCCCATGTTTTAAAGTCCAGCCCAGGGAAAGCTGCTGAGCCAAGCTGCTCTGAGAAGCAGCAGCACCACAGTTTTAGAGAGAAATCAGTTGTGACCAACACTTTCAGTTCAGTCACACCGAAATTATGCACAATAGTTCCAAACACTAACCCTACCTCCCAAGGTAGCTGATAGAAGGAAATGTGTCCCATATTTCTTGATAAGGTTCTCTGTGATCTGTTGAAGGGTCGGGCGGCGTCCGAGCAGCCTGATGTTACGGAAGAATTCAGGGGCAAGTGGCAATGGGGAGCCAAGGAAATTTCTTCTTTCAACAGCAAGATTGTTCACTTTCCAGCGGCCAAACTCTCTGCAAAACAAAGCAATTCTCATTCAGAAATATGTCATTCAGACAAATGTGCTTCATTTGCAAACTACTCTGCTCTGTTGACTAGCTGGGGGGGGACTAGCTGAGTGTTACAACAGGCCTTGACAGTGATACTCTGTCATGTGTTATAAGACAAGCAACGAGTGTTATTTATTAGAACTGGAGGCAGCACTCCATAATAAAATCATTGCTCACAAAAAATTAAATAAAAAATAAGCCACTTAAGATGCTGCAGTTCCTATTCTGTATGTTTAGCCTGTGATGTGAATACAGCCCTAGAACAACCAGATTTGCTAGAAACTGAAACTAAATTAAGAATTTCCCTAATTTTGGACCAAAGACAACAAGCATTTTCATTAGCATCAGGCAAATTTACAAAACATTTCAAGAAACTGACCTTGTTCTTTGTTTTTTTGATGATGTGACTTAGGTACATAGCTGGGTGATTTGAACAACTTAGAGAAATGCTATCACACCACATTTGACTTTACCATATTTCCAGTTTTCTATACTTTCGGTTTCCACTTTGAGGAAATATGCAGACAGTCGATCTGATTCCCAAGAACAGACAACTTTTCAATTGTAGGACAGATATAAATTAATTCAAAGACTTGTCCCCTTCCCCTCTCCAAAATAAACCAATGATAGCACAGAAAACAAACAAGTCAATTACACAGCAATAAACACATCTTTTATTCATTTACTTACCAATTGAGATACTAGATAAAGTTATTAGTGGAAGGACTCGTTGTCCTCAAAATCTAGCCAAGATACATAGTATTTGCACTAACTTTGCTTTTGCAAGGTACACCAATATCTGTTGTAGTTACAGACCCCAGTATTGTGAGAATTAAGTCCAAAGAAACCCCCAGACTGTGGTTTAGATACTACTTTGTTGAGTCATTCCTATAGTTAGGTCAATTAAGATTCCCCTTAGATAAGACTGTAGAAAAGCAAAGAGATTAGAGCTTGAAAGATCCTACTGAAGGTCTCAGCTAAACATCCTATAACAATAATTACAAAATTAACACAGAAGGCAAGAGCCAAGGATGCAACAAACAACATTTGGGGGATTTTTAAAACAAAGCAGTGGCCCATGGCTGAATGTCTAGGATAAGCTATGTAATACATCAACAACACTAATATATTTTTTAGTACTTTTATATCCACAGCTATTAATAGAACCCAGATAAGTACATTCTTGTATAGCCCTTGTACTTTCCAGCATCTTCGTGTTTCTCTTGCAGATCCAAACTATCTTATCCCCAGTCTGGCATAAATTTACATGCATAATAGGTGGCAATTTGGTGTAGCTCCTGTGATCTACCTTTCCTCTCAGACACTCTTACAGATGCCATTTTTTTTCCAAAACTAATTGAAAGAATTATAGTATAAAGAGCTTTACGTAACCTACCCGAAAGCTAATGCAATTTGTCAGTCAAGAGCATGAGACTAAACAGATCCTCACAGTTTTTTAAAGACTCTACACATCATCAGTGTGCCTAAATTAGTATTTAGAAATTGTTATTTGACAGGTGTGCAGTTTTTTTCAACTTAGTTGTCAGGTTTTAAGGTTTTGTCTCACAAATTTACTTTCATTTTAAGAAGCCACAAAGCAAAAAGCCCTTTCAGGTTTTGTGAAACTATTGTGTATTAGTAGAAACAGATGAGAAAAATTACACACAAACATTATTTTTCTCTCTAAAATGTAAAAATATTCATTGGTCATATTGACCACATGAATGCAGGTACTAAAACCAGTGAATTATCCTACACTCTAAATGTGCTTTTCAAGTGAAAGGGAAAAAAAAAAAAAATTAAAAAAACCCCAGGGTTTTATCTCAATTGCCTGCTTTCTGGGCATATTTGAGTGGTTTTTTTTTCATTTGAATACATCACAAAATATCGGTCAATTGCAGTTCCTCAGCAAACCATCAAGACAGAATTGTTTTGACAGCAAAAAAAGAATACAAGCTTTATAATGTAAGGTACTCATTTTATGCCTTGATGAAACCTTTCCTTCTAAACTTACTCTCTGAGTAATGGTCCGTTTCAAAGCTGAGGTTCAAACACAACAACAGAAATGTTGCAATGTTTATAAAAGCTGGTTTGTTACTGCATTTAATTCAGATTTCATTGTCTGAGTTTGTAAGGACAGAAAGGACCATCATAATCCCCTCAGCTGCCCCCTTTCTAATGCAGTGAATGAGGTGTCACCAAATGGCACTTGCTGCCCATGTCAGCAAGTCTGCGACTGAAGAAGAAACCGTCTTAACTTAAAAGCTGATCCTAAAGATTTCTCCAAATTTCTCAACAATCTGCTGTAGTATTTAACTACAGAGAGTACATTTTATTTTCAGTTTGAACATTGGCATTTCTATTTCCAATTTTTGAAGCTTTTAATGCATGTCAGGCAGATTAAAGGTTTTCCTAAGTATTACATACATTCTGTGTAACTAATTATAGTTCTTGTCTGAATCTCCTCTCTACCTCAGGGTAAGTTTTTTATCTTCTTTTGTGTTTCTTTGTGAACTGTGATTTTAGATGATACGTTTTACAGCTTTAAAAGTGGCAAATGATTTCTTGGAAGACTAAAACTAGAAATGATGGCCTCATCCATACCAAATTCAAAAGTGTTTCCAAGTTGAGGTCCTCCCATTCTACTACAGGTCCTTTATTTACCTAATCCAGGGACTGAGTTATTCTAGCATTAGAAGAAATTTGTTTAGCTTAGTTAAGAAAAGTTGAGTTCCTTCTACAGTTATTGCTATAGAAAGTTTGTTTATCTGTATCTTATGCTATTCCAGGGACAGGGAGTAGGTTAATGCTTTTTTTAAAGTTTGAGCATTTTTTTATTATTATTATTATTCAGAGCAAATAAAGGGAAAAACATTAGTTGAGCAAGTAATCATCCTTTGAAATTCACTGCTGAGGAAACTGAGGGAGCAGAATATGGAAACTGGCTTTTTAAAAAGGTGGCCATTTTAGAAGTCTGCCACAGATGAAGCTGAAGCGTTTAGAGAGTTTACAAACCAGCTTCCATGTTTTCCTGAAGTCTTTCTTAAATAAAGTGTTTTAGAATATGGAGACATGAAGACCTAAACCCTCTCTGAAAGACAAGAGGAAGCTTCATCTCTGAAAATAAAAGAGAAACATGGGACATCAAAAGTGAGCTTTCTGGTTGCAGAAGCAGTGATAACTAAATGTGGGCAAGCAAGAAGTGACTAGCAGCTTCTCTAACAGGAAAACTGAAGGAAGATTTCAGACTTCAGAAGAAACTGAGTTTATGAGAGGAAAGTGCAGGAGCAGGGAAACCTGGGCTGCAGTTCAGGATGGAGATTTTCGTGCCATTTTCCCCAGCACAGTGAATGGGGCTCACAAACACTTTCTGTGTATGAGACTCACTAGTAACTGCTATCTTAAAATTAGGACTAATTTATCTTCTCAGAAATTTCACTGCAAGTCAAATCATAGCCTTATCTTCCCTTGATATGTCATATAAATATACATATCTAGGTACATACACATATAAGTTTTCTTTCTTCTCTTGATTTCACCTTGCAAGCAGCAGTGTATTTTCTCCTATTTCTTTCTCCCCTCTGTTATCACAAAGTAAAGCTCAGCATTTATTAACCTGTTTGACTTGCAGTCATTCTCTCTACCACAAACTTTCCAGCCCTCAGAAGATTTCTGTACCAAATGTGCATTATTCTCCTTTGGAAATCATGTTCCTGTCCACTGCCAAAGGCAGACTAGCAGGCTTGACAGAGTTAATGATCATCTTCTTAGCAGAGAGAATATTGCCTTCCAATGTCACTGGAGTACCATTCATCAGAAGAACACCTCCCACAGTATAACATAGCATCAGTGCTGGCTCATGGTCAAGAAAACCAATTATGCACTGAACACAATCTCTAAAGGTATTAGAAGCTTATTCTTTCCTCCTCTTCCTCTTCTTTGACTGTGTAAGAGCCAAGATTAGCAGCTGTCATGGCACTATCAAGCAGATAAGATATAAGAGCAGGTGGTACTCCCTGTGCTGCTTATCTGTTTCCAGATCGAGCAATATGTTAACCATTGGATAGAGTTCCTTAATGCTCAAGGCAAAGCCTGCTGTTGAGAAGGATGATGTCTTTGAGTTCCTGGACTTGCACAAGAGAGAGGAAATAAGTCAGCCTGGCTCCTAGGATGAAGCTTATAATGGAACTGCATTATTATCATAAGTACTGCCAGAGGCCATGGGCAGCATTCTCTTACATATGACAATCGTGGATTTGTATGTCCTACCAAAAATCTCTCTCCTGGCTGGTTGGCTAATGCACACACAAGAGCCCTGAAGTTCAGGAGTGCCAATTCTGACCAGCTGTACTGCATGCATGCCACAGCCTCCCTTTGCTGAATGGGGTCTCCTGCCATTTGTTCTACTTAGAGCAAGTTAGGTTGAGGAATGATCAGTCAGGGAGTCAGCATGGGGTAAAAACAAGCACAGTTTAAAATGCAGTTTTTATTTCAACACAACTTCTTTTATTATTTCCCTTTATTTCTTATTTGTCTTGCTATGCTATGACATTCAGAGTGATGTTTAATCTAAGAATAACGTTCTGACATGAAACACCCCTTTGAAGAGTATTGCGCAAGTTGTGGACATGTTTTCATCCTGAAAGAAGCTTAAATTGCAAGTGGATCTGAAAGTAATTCTAGGGCAGCAGGCCAACAAAGGCTCTTTTGAATTTCAAGATATAGCTTTTTTTTTTTTTTAAATGTGTATATAAATTATACATTTTCTTCTACCCTTGCATTCATTTCAATACATTTGAAATCATATGGTATGGGGAGATATAGGAAAATCTCTATATAAAACATCTAGATGAAGGAAATTAAAAAAAAATGCCACTGTACTCTAAAATTGGAGTGTGTAGAAGATTGGAAATGGGAATATAATCTCTGCTGTTGCAGTTGATTAAATCAGAGCCTACAAAGAG